TTAACTGAAAATCTCACAAAGACGAAATAGAAAGCATTTACTTTTATTGGTGATTCACTCACAATACATACGTGAAGGTACCATTAAGTACGATATTCCTGAAGATATRAGAGCTCACCACATATGGAGAGTCTGAAATCACCTATACATCCTAGTTTGGTCATAGTAACTAGATCTAAAGAAATATGAGCAAATGGCTGATGTAAATGACACTGTTGCTCATTGAGTTCCAGAACAACACACCAAGAAGTGTAAGCTAGTATTGCTAAGATCCTTAGCTACATTAATCTTCATCGACAAACTCAAATGGCTCTGGTGGTTCTGGCTCTTCTTCTTCTTCTTCAAGRCCAATAGTTGATGATGCTGTAAAATATGTAAATAACAGTTACAATATAATGAAGAAAACGAATTTGACAATAGATGGGTGGATAGAGGATGAATGGAAGGCATGAATGAATGGATGACAGAATAAATATTCTTTATGTACCTATGACAAGGTACCCTTGCCATCTTTTCAAAAACGTAAGTAATTACATTTTTCTTAACCATGCATCATTCTCTTGAKTAYTATATTTAYTGAAAGAAACAATAYTCAAGGGAATGGCACATGGTTTCTAATATCGACAATACAATGAATTGGGTCTATCYTGCTAGCATTACCTGGTAATGGTTCTATGAGGTCCTCTGGTTCATCTGATTTTGAATCTGTCATCATTATGATACCCCCGCTACTACACTACATTATCAGAACAACAAAGAAAGAGAAGTTTTATTAGGACTTGCTGTAATAAGAAATCAGACAAAGTRTAACCAGCCACCAAAAATGTTACCCATGAAATCTGCTTCCTTTGGCGGCTCACACTTTCCAGGAAAAAAAAGTACTTTTGCATGGTACACGTTGTAATCAGAAGCAAATGAATTTTGYATGCCTAATACACAAGTGCAATTTTGTCAACCCATGAAATATGAATTGAACATAATCAAATGAAGTAAGAAAGTGATATCAATTTCATGGGTATATTCACTCAGAATCAAATGATGATCTTTGATGGTGGTTGGCTACCAAACGGTGATAGACAACTACCATCTTACCTGTTTCATTGGGAAGTATCGTRTATCACTTGGCAGAGTAATAACTTTCAACTGGAAATGAAGAGTATTAATGAAATTATTGATTCAACATGTAAGAACAGGGGTTATAGTCATGGTGAATCAATGACTACACACCACTCTACTATCCTCTAACTACATTGAATGCAGAAGCCAATCTTTAAGAAAACAATTGATCCTCTCCTGAAGACAGGTCATTGTTATATGATCAACATGCAAGATGGAATCAATAAGCAGGTTTATTATATGGCAATTTCGCACACCTTTTGGTGGTCGATAATTTACGGTACGGACCACAAACCCAATTATTGTGTTCGCCTTGCCATATAAACATCTTATTGACCTCTCTTTACTCTCTCTGTATATGGAACCTCGTTTCCCCCACTTTTTCATGGCCCATTTGCTTTGCACTTGGTTATGTCTAAAACATTTGGCTGTAGTCATCAGTTGTCATGTTACCTGTGATGGAAGAGCTCGTGCAGGATTTTCCAACAGTTGAAAATCCGGTTCAGGTTCAGGTTTGTCTTCAACTTTCTCAGTCTTTCCCGTCTCATCCTTTTCACTTTTCTCTTTTTCACTTTTTTCAGTTGTAGATTCATCTGTTTCTTTCTCACTTTCTTTTGATTTTTCRGATTCTTTTCCATCTTTCATTACGACATCTTTTGACTGTAGAATAAATAAAAAATGAGTGCAAGTTCTTTGAAAGGTTTTGTGTCGAGAAGTGTGTGGAAATGAAAAGGCATTCTTTGAAAATCTAAACCATTAATGTAGTATCATGTAATTCCCACCTTTTCTTCTCCACTTTCTGGCTTTCCTTTTTCTTTTCCCTCTGCTTCTTGGTCCTACAAAAGTGGAAGTAATTTGATTATAAGTGTCTGGATGCTTGCATAGATATTCCAATGTTTTGTTTTTTAAGAAAAGGAAAACAGAATAGTGAGTAGCATTTTTTAAATTGACTCTTGTGCAATTATTTTATTGCCTTGTTAGTAACACAAGTCATTCAGCAAACAAATACTTGTCTCACAGCCTCAGGGGGAGGGGGGGGTGTGTGGGGTTGGGTGGATCTCGTCAGAGGGGGGGGGGGAATGGATAATTTCTGGAGCTACACAATTGAATTTTGTTTTATCTTCATTTTCCAAAACTCTACAGATGTTRCTTGATATCATTCCTCTTCTACTTGGTATAATTCTTTCTTAGCATGAATGCGCTCATACACTACAGGTCAAAACAGGGCACATAGCATTCTTGGCCTTTTATTTTTTAGTCCATGAATCTACTTGCACATGCAAGCTTAAGCCAAGGTYTATTGCTGCAATTCATGTTAATAGTTTTTTTACTTGTATCAAGGTAGCATGAACATATCAAAACTATGATATTTCATTCACAGCAAATCCAGCATTCTTACCACTTCCATCTTYTCTTCAGTAGCTTCCGACTTCTTGGCTCTCGCTTTAGCCTTTGCCGTCACAGACAGAACTGCTGTTGTTACCTGAAACATAGTACCTCGTAAATATGCAAGATCAAGCTTTATTCAGATGTCTACTAAATAAAATGCACAAGTTTCATACCTTTTCCTTTTCTTCTTTTTTTGGTGGTTTCAGCGGCTCTGGGTAGGCGTATGTGGATGGCTTGGCACCCGATCTGAATTTCATCTTTGGCATCTAAAAATGGTGGAGTTACAAAAAAGGAAATAAAAGTAAAAAACATAATTAATTGCAAACAATAATTAAAACATATTGGTTGAAGTTCAAAAAACAAAAAACTTTTCTCATCAAAAATAACCAATTTTAGCACAAAAGAGCTGTGCAAAAGAGGCAATCAATGCATAAAACAAATTCCTCTTGAATACCATTCAATTGCATGTCAAAAACAGTCAATCAAAGCTCAGTTTTGTGGAAATCAAGGCACTTTTGAAAACAACCAATCAAAGAACATGTCCAAAAATATTCAATCAAGGCACAAGTTGTGCAAAACAGCCAATCAAAGTAGCTGTTCTACTTACCTTTAGATCAGARTTAAGACCAATGATAGATGTTGGTGTGAAGGCAAGAGAYAGGAARTGTGACAGAGGAAACCAGAACCAGTAATGTGTGAAGATGAGGACACCCACTACTGAACTCATGTGGGTGTGTCCAGCACGTGACTGCAGCGAGATGGTTACATTACGTCCACCTAAACAGAACAAAATGGACATTTAAAAAACATACAGTGTGGGAATGGCTAACTCCCAGATTGAACCCTGAAACAACCTCTGGGCTGATCTAAGTCAGGGCATGGCTAACTTACAGATACAACCCTGAAACAACCTCTGGGCTGATCTAAGTCAGGGCATGCATACTCACAGATTGAACCCTGAAACAACCTCTGGGCTGATCTAAGTCAGGGCACAGCTAACTCACAGATTGATTCAAGGGAGAGACCTAACAAACACTACCTAAGGCATATGTAATGCCAAGTGCAGAATCTTGTGAAACGATAATCAATTCTTACCAGCATCGATAATGCCCTGCGCAAGTGTTGCACCAAACTTGGCCATCACATCTTCRTGTTTATCTGCAATGACTTTGGAATAGACCTCTCTAAACTTGGTGACCTTGGGGCAAGTGTGTTCTGTTTGTTGAATCAGAATCATTGCACTGGCTATCAACGCACCCTAGGGTAAGATTAATATGATGAGTATTCTATATGCATGTATGTACTAACAATAAACAAATATACTATAGATGGGTGCATGGATAGGTAGACGAACAAATGGATGGATGCATAGACAAACTGAT